TGGATCTAGTGTTGTTTTTGAAGTTCTCTACAAAAGTTTTAGTCTGTTCTAGCTCATAGAGGCATACCCTAGGTGACAACTATAGCCCCTTATATATAGGCCTCAAAAACTAGAGTTAAATTGGAGCCTAAACAAACTCAAATTTGTGACCAACCGCTCGAGCCGTGAAAGTGTGGTCATAGGACAATGGTTTCTAGAGTGAAAAATAAGTCATTCTAGACCTCCAGGGAGCAAACCGCACAAGTACACAAGTGATCAGTGCCAAAGAATCGTCTCCACTAGTTCTCTAGTCCAATTTCCTTAAATGTTCAGAGACCATTCTAACCGAAGCCGAGTGAGCCGACAGTTTTTAAACTAAAAACCATGCAAAAACTAGACCTATTAAGCACTAAAGAATGTTGCTCAAATAGGATCCTACATAACTCATCATATGTTTTCAAAACACATTCAAGGTTTAGAAAATCTTTTTCATGAAAAGGCTAAAATCATTCACAGATTATCCCAATTCCATTTTAACCTAATTACCCTAAGTCTAAAAGTAAACTAATGGTTCTAGGTCTCTAGCTCATTACCTTTGACCTAAACTCTTGAAGGTTCATTAGAGATCTCATGATTTGACTTTGAAGCTTGAAATCCTCCTTCTTCGAGGCTTTCGGAACTTGATCTTTAACACATCATGACCATAGATTTACGTTAAGATTTACAACAACACTTCACGAAATTAGACAATTACAATCAATTTCCTAACAAGTTCCATGAACTTTGTCGGCCCTTGCTAGCAAGTATTTAAGAGAATTTGGTGTCATTTCCTTGTAAGGTATGACTATTATAAGATTCAAACTCCAATGGTCAGTTTGAAATATTGTGCAAACTTTTGTTCAAAATCAATGACTAAATTTCATTAAATTCTGAAAATGATCCTTTTATGATCCTATAAATATGTCAGAAAGAATCATCTCAAATGAAGAATAATGACATGGATCCCTTTTAATATTGTGTAAAACATGAAGAAAGTATCAGCCACCATCATGCCTTAATTGGTGCATTATATATTATACTAACACATGAGTGACCATAAGAAATCATTATATTAACAACTCAGCACTTTCCTCTACCTTATGAACGAAGAAAGGAAACAGTCACACAGACTAATCAGGGACTCAGCTTGATGGTAAAAGTAGTATGCCAAAGCTAACATATTCAGCAGAAGATGCAATGACACAATACTTGGAGCCTAAAGTCTGCTGTCAAACCTACCACCTCAGGAGATTCAGAATATATATACTCAGCTAGCATATCATGTAGTTCCAGAGATCCATTCCTATGAGCTCCAAATTCCACAGACCACCTAAAACCAAAGAATACAGTTTAGGTGCATTTATCATCAACATCCTGGAAGTGCATATACTCCCCACCCCCCAACACAAAAGATAAATGGAAAGACAAAACACACAACCCTAAAACCACGAAATGTATACACATATGCAAAGAAATGTAATCTGTTTTACATAATAACAGGTTTACAATAGTAGGAAAAAAGGAATTGAAGCAAATTAGATTAGTAAACAGAGATGAAACATGCATGTGCCTTCTGTTGCATGTCAAAATTTATAACATACAAAACTGACAGACAGAATTCTAAAAGCAGCATGACCAAAAAATAAATAGATAAACAAATATAACCTAGAAGTAGAAAGAAATAATAGTCATAGCAGTATTAGGTGTGAGGCTTTTTCTTATTCTACTCTCTTTGAGAAAAAGTATCTGACTCTAGCCACAGGCATATCCCTTTTCCCATTACATGTCTGTGCTTCTTCTTTTATTTTATTTTTTTTTTTGAGCAGGTGGCGGAGAGTGTAAGTTTGTTCTATAGTTTGAGTAAATGCATCGTCCACATATTCTTACATCCCATTTTTCTCATTTTCTCTATTATTACCCTTATTCCCATACTAAACTTCTACAAACGCTTAAACTAGTGGAGAATGGCCCAACAATATATACCATACCAGTGCAGAGTCAAGGTTTCCCCGCAGTGGGGACAACCATACAATTATAAAGAACGACCGAACAATACTCATCCAAATTCATTGTGACTTACAAACAGATAATGCGCAGGCCTGTTAATGGTTGGATTTGGATCAGATTTCAGCTCATCAAAATCAAAATCTGAGTTGATACTCCATTCTGAATCCAAACTAACTATCCAACAGACTTTGTTTTTGCCGTCAATATCCAAGTCCATTTGTGTATTGAAAAATAATCTAATCCATGACTAACTTATAATTAAATTTTATCAAATTACACTTAATTTCAAGTCAATTACATTCATATGTATATATAGATTAGATGGAGAGTCGGAATACAATCAAACTATGATGATTTGACATATCCAAATCTCAATCCGTGAAATATGATATAATAGATTCAAAATTTAATTTCAAGTCAATTACATTCATATGTATATATAAATTAGATGGAGAGTCGGAATACAATCAAATTATTAGGCCTGACAATTGTGTCGAGCGGAACAGTTTCGTGTCGGGTGGAACGGGTTTGTGTTAAAAAATCCTCCATCCATACCCAATTCGTTTATATAAACGAGTTTAACTATCATACTCATACAAGAATCATTTATTAGACGAGTTATCCGATACAACCCGTGTATCACCCGCTAAATAAGAGAATAGGTTAGAATATTTCGAGTACACACGAAAAATCATTAACTTGCTACACATTATACATATTTGACTTGTTTACTATAATAATAAATCAAGCTAAGCAAAAAAATAAAGACAAAAAATAAATATTAAATGACTACTAAATTTGAATGAGTCTAAGAGATGGGAGGTATGAGATGAGGCAGAGGCTGAGAGACCTAACTTTTAAAAAAAAAATTGTAGTACCACTGTTAACGGATTAAACGGGTTGAAACGAGTTTATAAGTTAAACACAAAATCGATTCATTTATTTCACGAATCTGCCGAGTTAACCCGTTAACTACCCGAACCCTTTAAAACTACACTCAAACCCGCTAAATCCGTGTCGGATTCGTGTCGATTTCACGAGTTGTGTCTAGAATTGCCAAGCCTACAAACTATGGTGATTTGATATATCCAAATCTCAATCCGTGAAATATGATATAATAGATTCAAAATGATAATTGTTCACAAGTATCAATCCATACTTAACTAATCAAATTTGGAACCAGTCAAATTCAAATCCAAATTGAATCTATTGACATGCTTAATAGTGAGTGATGACTGAATATCTTCAAGCCTTCAACCAAATCGTAGGCCTTCTATATGTCAACAACAATTGAGTAGAAAAGGTGTGGGAATGGTTGGATCGGTGAATTGGCATGCCATGCACGGAGTAGAGAATGAAAAAAAAACTAAAGAGAGACTAGTGATATTGAATCGCACAAGGGAAGTTTGAGACTAAGTTTTTAATTTATGATAAAATCCCACATAATTTTAAAATGTGAAACTACCCCTAAGTTTTTCCACAAATTCTTTAGTGAGGGCAAGTTCTAAAAGATTCTACAAATTTTGAACACACCGTAAAATTTTGTAATTGTGGTGCGTGCAAGTGTCCCACCCAAACTCACCCCCTAATCATATATTAAGCACCCTTTCTCATGGAGAAACCCCCACTCAACAATTAGAGAAAGAAATACACAAACACATAAGCATATTAAACTGAAAAGACACAAGCTAAAAAAATAAAAATAAAAAGAGACTTGAATCTAAGACCATATAGAAACAAAGCTTAGATACCATGTTAGACAGTCACTAACCCTACAAGCTTAAGTCATTGAAGATTGAAGAATGGACCTGACATGGTATATTTGTTGCTCAATATATGTAATACTCTATCATAGTTCCTAGAGCTATCAAAATTTGACACGACATGATTAACCGACACAAATTAAGCGAGTTTGAATGAGATCCTAACGAGTTTGGGTGAGATCTTAACGGATCTGGATGATAAACGAGTTAACACGCCAAACACGTTTAATAAACGGATCGTATTCACGTGAGAGCTGTCAAACCGTTTATCACACGTTTACCTGTTTAAATAAAATTAATATAATAATAAATTAATAATTATTTTAAAAAATTAACAAAAAAAAAGTAAAGAAATCAATAAAAAAATAAAATAAAATAGTAGTTCAAGACAAAAAAGAGGAGATGGGGAGCACTTCAAAAACAAAGGCAAACCAATGCCTTTTGTTTTTGTCCCACATTGGAAAATGAGAAGAGATGGGGAGAGCTGAGTTGCCTATAAAAGGCAATGGCCTCTTGCTTCTTGTTTTTTTTAAGTCTTCAAGTCTTATTTTTATGAGATTTGACTAAAAATTCCTATTTTTTTAGGTAAGTGCAATTGACAGTAAAAAAAAGTGGAGTATTAAAATTTATTGATATAATTTTTTTAAAATTAAACGGGTTAAACATGTCGTGTCGTGTATGTATTTATATGTTTTTCACCCGTTTAACCCGACACATAACCGTTTAACCCTACACGATTGACACCCCTAATGGTTCCTCATTTTGAGATTACCAAGTGAGCAAATAAAGTATTTAACTTTTGTATGTACTTGCATTACTAAAATTTGGTGCATAATGTTCATGAAATTCTAAGTCATAAATTGATGCTCAATCACTGAAATTAGAATTGCATGTTCCATCATGGATACAAACAGTATTTCTAACATTTGGGTTCAGAACAATAATTGTTGCTCAATAACAAGTCTGTGCAGGTACTGTTCAGTCAGCTACATGAACATCCTAAAGATGCATAGAACTGCAACGTAGTCAAAGGTACAGGGCATGAAAGAAGATTGATGTATCAAGTGTCATTAAATTATGCAGCACCAAAGAGATCTTGACGGGAATTTGAAGTCCCAACAACAGATTACTATGATAACATCAATGATTAGTTCTGAGAATTGTTTATGCCAACCAAACTCTTACTTTATCATAAAACAATGGCAGAATATCTCACTTAATAGCAGCTTTTAAAAATGACGAGCAGCACTCCACACGCGTTTTTGCTGCCCCAAGGAATTCAGAAAGTTGTTGTACATCATCATCATCTGTTAAGTCCAAGTGTTGTGGCACAGAAATTCGAGGGAACTTCTTGTAAATTCTCCTGACACAGTCTAAGATTGATATTTGTCATAATCAAGAAGAAATACAAAACAATGGAAAAATTAGTACTTCAATCAAGACTAGGAATCTAGAGATAATCTACATTACAGAAGTTGCCGACACATAGTAAACAGAAGAATAAAACTATCAGACTACTCGTCAAATGCATAAACCAATTTATTCAAAGTTACAATGTCACGCCTTATAGTTAGGTCTAAGTACAAAGACACTTCTTTGATAGCGGTGATTCCTGAAAGATTCTTCTTGTAATACCAATTTTAGCCTTAGGTCAAATAATATGCATTGTAGACTAATTTAAAAAATAAAAAGATGAAATTATAAGATGAAACATAAAAAAATATTGTTGTCTCTATCTCCTCAATTAAACTAGAAAAAATAAACAAAAAATATATATAAAAAAGAATCATGTCCATAATTCATAAATTAAAAAAGGGAAAAAAATACACAGAGAAAATAAATAAAACCAAACTTTTCCAAAATGTAGACTAGATGATTTGAAAAAATAGATATTATTTTTATAATTTTCACTTCTGTTTTTATATAAATAAAAAAAAATGTACAAATATTGTTACAGCTTTGAAAAAATGACCAGTGTAATACTCTAAAAATTGCAGCTTCCGCTATCTAAAACTCTAAATATTGTTCAATTTTACAAGGGAAAACTCACGCCCCCTGCGCCCGCGCGGGGGGGGGGGATGCCGGTGTATTTTCAGAAAGGAGTGTCCTTATATTAGGACAATCTAACAGGGTTCTAATTGTTATTTACTCTATTTGTATAATTGTATCTATAAATTTATTTTTTCCAACTTACTTATCAATTACTCTCTCCCATACATAACTTTTGTTCATTTTTTTCTTATTCAAAGATGTACATTGCCACGCATGCCTGGCGTCAAACCAAATCCTTTGTATGCATCACGCAACATAAGAGGAAAAGTTAACAAGACCATAAAATACATCACAAACTATGAACTAACCAAGAGTATCATCATCATAAGGATATTTTCCCTTTACAAGTGTCTCCACGAACAACACAGCTAGCTCAGCCCCACAAGTCACCTGAAAAAGATGTATAGTGTAATCAATATATATGGATTTTGCAAGGAAAAAAACAACAGTGGATGATGTTCATGAAATAGTTTTTCTTCGAGAAAAAAAAAACAAAGTTTCAACTAGCTTCACAAAGATACACTGATCAAAATAGGCCCGTGCATCATGCTGCCATAGGTCCATTTTTACTGTTTCACAAAACCATACATTAGGCAAGGTATTTTTATATTTAGAAATTTCCAACTTGATCCCTGTGCATTTGCACCCCTGCTACCTATTTGATGTACATCAATTATGTATCTCATTGACAGAAACATAGACCACAGTAGATAAACGCAATCTAGTGAACATACAATTCATAATGGAACAAAAGCATCTTATATTGAACATGGATAACAATACTCTAAATGCGTACTATATACTTGTGGTGGCATAGCTAGCTAGCCAGACTAAGCAGCTAATTATGTTGAAGAATGATGCAAATAGGCCTGCCATTAATCAAATGGTGATATCAGTCCAACTCAAAACAACCTGAATTCCATATCCAAACAAAATTTCAAATTCAACTGCGTATCACCTGCGCATTTGCCAACTGGATGCAAGCACCCGCCTGAAGAACATCCAAGGCCTCCGAATATCTTTCGGCGGCTATATATCTGTAATAAAACACACATTTTTATTTATTGCACACATCTAAAAACGAAACCTACAATTAAGAAACAGTAGCATTAAAACTAAAACACGCATCCAATTATAGATGTGTGCATTTTTATTTATTGCACACATCTATAAATGAAAGTGCATCCAATTAAGAAAGCAATAGTACTAAAAAAAAAAGCATACACATACACAAAAACATATGCATACATATATACATATACATCTAAATGTTGAAGCCCGAGTTTTCACCTTGCGCTAGTAGACTTGTACATCTGTTGAGCTCCATAGTAATTGCCTTCCTTCACAACTTTCTCTAACTTATCAATATTCTGCAATTAACAGTTCAAAAAAAAAATCTTCTGAAAAAATTCAATCTCATAACCCAATTAACTAATTGCTAGCCACCAATTAGGCTGCAATACGATAAATCAACCAAAATCGATGCAGATCAATAATAAAAACAGTTCAATATTATTTCGAAATTGAGCTTAATTTGCACCTGCTGAGCTGGAGGGAGTGTCGTCCGCTTAGCTCGCTCTCGCAACATGGCCTCTCTCGATTGCTTAGTCGATCGTCTTCGCGACAGAGATCTGTTTGATTCTCACTCTGGCCACGAACACGGGCACTGCTTAATGTACCGTTTGTCGACTGGTCTCGGCGGTATGAGACCGATGTGTAATGGCTTCAGCTCGCGGTGTAAGTGGGTTGTACTTGTACCTTATATTAGTCCAATTGGACCACAATAACCTAGTTGGAAACGGACGTCTCATTTCTAATAAAAAAATACCCGAATTTTAAATATCATAATAATGTTTTCGTGTTTCGTATTATCACTAATCTGAGAATAAAAATTTATTTTATGATTATTTTTAATACGAGTAAAATATAAAAAAAAAATTGAGGATATAAAGTTAAAAAATTTAATTTTGAGGGTACAAAGTGTAATTAGTCAGTGGAAAAGAATAGGACCAATATTTTTCAAATTCTCATTTTATGCTTTTAATAATTAGATTTTTGACATTATATAATTAATATGTTAAAAGTATTATAATATGGTTATTTTGTTATTTATTCCATCAAAACCCATCTCATCAAAGTTCAACGAGTGAAAAAAAATTAAGGAGAATTACACATAAATTTTCTGAATTTTGTCACTTAATCACTCAAACTCCTGACATTTAAAATATTACAAACAAACCCTTGAATTTTGTACACGCGTAACAATTTGACCCGTAAATATATTATTTAATAAATTATACTTAGACTCTCTAAACTTTTTAGGTATATAATATTTAGACCCCTTCAATTTAAAATATTATACTTAGACCAAAAATATTCCAATCAAATATAAAATATTTTAAATTTTACAACCAAAATTTATGTTCTATTATGAATGACTTAAACCCCTTATTTGATTTTTTATTTTTATTCTAATAGATAGAATAATTGTATACTAATTACGATTTTTTTAAAAAAAAATAATTTTTTAATTTTAATTTTATTTCAATAAATGATATAGTAGAACATGAATTTTTGTTGTAAAATTTAAAATATTTAATATTCTATATTTAATTGGAATATTTTTTTTAAGTATAATAATTTAAATTTAAAGGGCCTAAGAATTATATACCTACAAATTTTATGAGAATCTAAGTGTAATTTATTAATAGATATATTTACAAAAATTGTCTAAGTATTACCTACGTACAAATCTTAGAAGTCTATGTATAATATTTTAAATATTAGGGATCTGAGTAATTAAGTGACAAATCTCAGGAGGTCTTGATATAATTCTCCCAAAAAATTAATAAAAAAATCACGTTGCAACACTTTTAATACATTAAGGTACAATGTAAATAATCTCATCTTCAGGTTGCAAAATGGAAAATTTTCAATCTTTCGGGGTGGAAGGTGAGATTCCCAGGAAGAATAAGCGACGAAATCAGCAGAGGAAAGAGAAGCCCCCAAACAAGCCCCTTGCTCTGAAAGTCGGCGTCCAACCCCAACTTTCTGGCCGACACGCTGCTTTGTGGTGCTTACTTGGATACATTCTCAGATTCGTCATTTGAACTTGTAAATTTGGGGCTAAATGGGTTCTAGTTCACAGGCCTTACGAGCTTCGATGGTGTATCGCCACCTTCTCAAAGCTGTCCAGAAACACATCGGAAAGGAAGACCACAAGACCCATTTCATAGATTTCATCAAATCAGAGTTCAAGAACAACGCTCAACAGTCAGACCCAATATTCATTCACCAGAAAATAAGGCTTGCCCGTGATTATGCTCTTTACATGAACAGCGTTCACCAACACAAGGTACTCTTAGCTTTCATTATTCACATATAATATACGCGTTTATGTAACTATATATGAATATATTTTGGGTTTATGCAAACAATTTGTTTGTTAATTGAAGGGTCTGTCTATATTTAAGCGGCTACAAATTGGCAATATGGTTAGAATTTGGTTCTTGTATATTGTTTAAACGATCGTATATGGTTGTGTTTATGCATGCAATCTGTTTGTTAATTGGCGGGGCTGTCTATGTTTAAGCGGTTACTATTGTGAAATATGGTTTTCCAATTCGAACTTTAGTTCTTGTATGGTGTTCAAATGGATCTGAATATGGAATACTAATAACAGATTTCTCAAATCAATGCCCATTGGGTGCTAACATTTATTTTTCATTTATTTTGTCAAGTAATGATCCATCTTGTTACCTCGTTCTAGTTGACCTTTCTAACTTCCTGTTCAAACGTGTTATATAGTTATAGATTTAAGAATTTGCTTCGGAGGGGTAGAAATAAAGAGTAACGAAAGTTATTAGAAGATATTGGCTAGTTACATGAATGGCGCAAGATAGGTTTGTTATTGGGAATTACTTGGGGATCTTTCCCTTTTGGAGTACATGTATATTCTTTCAGATTTCCTTGGGGTTCAATAGTTTTTCACTTGTAACTTCAAATAAAAATTAATTGTGTAGTAGAAGAATTACTTCCTTAAAATTCTGGCAATAACCAACTCAAGATTTCACCTTAAATTGCTTGTGATTGTTCAGGACTTGCTGTTTTCCTACAATATTGCAGTGGATAGGTCAGATGAAATGAAGAAAGTACTAGGGAAATCAGCTGCTAGTGTGGGTCTTCAGCTTCCGGATGTCTATCAGCCTTGACAGTTGGTGAGGTTTATTGCTTTTTGTCTTCTAGCTTGCTGAACTTCTCTCGACAATGCTAAAAAGCATATAATGCAAGCTGGTTTCATTATCAATCCTGATTTTATGTTTTAATAATGACAACATTTGCTTCCTCTTTTTTTTTTTTTTTTTTTTTTTTTTGGGGGGGGGGGGGGGGGCGCAGGGGGTTAGTCATGAGCGTATTGAGGAAAACTTGTTTCATTCACATCTGGATTGAGCCTGATCTGGGGGTGAGACAGAGTCTGTGAGTGGCAGATTTAATGTGTCAAAAATTTTTACCACACAGACATCCCTGCCCAGCTGTGCCTCTTTGAAGTTTCTTTGTTATGGATAACATTTTAAGGCACTGTAATAAATGAAGTATCAAGGTAAGAGAAAACAGAGCATTGCATGTTTCCATTTTACTATTCTGAGTATTGATTCTTAGTGTTTTTCCACAATACATAGGAATTAGTTACACACGCTTGCAATCTAAATACAACCTCATGTTCTCTGTTTTTTGCGGGCATGTTTGCACACCACATTGTGTTAAAATTGTTCATCTCGAATAGAAATCCCCATTGATGGTAACAACCTTCCTTCCCTCTTTATTGATGACATTGGTTACATTTTATGCATATTTTGCCTATTTGTGTCTCACTGTTTTGCAGTTATGCATGCATGTGAGAGTAAGGCGGGAGGCAGTAGAGTGGTTGAGGGAGAAAGGTGAAATCGGGTGGGGGTGGATTGATTTAGCCATTTAGAGCAGTATTTTTATGTTCTTTTATACCCATATGACTATACCTAAAAGGGTTATTGGGGTTGTTCAGTTTATTTTGATTATACGAGCAATTTGGGTTATACAGGTTCATAGGTTGAATTATACAGGTTATCGTGTTAAAATCATGTTTAAATTTGTCAACCCAAACATGACTCCTTTGATGACTGTTTCAAAATCTCCACCCCAATCCACTAATTTCGCTTTAGGTTTGTCCCCTATTTGAAAATTGTCATCTGTAATTTTGACCACTTGCAACCTCGTGATACCTACTATAAATAATGTTGAGATCTAGGAAGTACAAACACTTCATTTTGGTCGGAGCGTCAGTGTCAGACACGTCTGGGATATAGGCACGTTTCAAACATGCTAAAATGAGTGTCTGATTATTTTATTGTTAAATTTTTTGCATTTTTTCAGAATTAAATGGTCATTTTTGTTTTCTTGAGCTGTTTCTGAGCTCCCACTCTATTTGATTGGAGTTGCACGGTGGCTCTTGAAACACATTTCTAAGGAAAATAACACTTGTCGCTCACAAACTTTTTTATCCTATAAATGTGACAGTCCTGTATGAGGCAAGGATCAAAATGTGTTCTTTTATGTATTTTCTGAGATGGATTTTTAGGTTTCCATTTGCTAACCTATTTGGGAATCTCCGGATCTGTTCTTATTTTCAAATCCTCGTAGCATTTCGTTGCTCTCTATTCCCTTCCTCGTCGCTATGTGCCTAGGTATCTATCGTAAACATTTCCTCGTTTGAACATCACCTCTCACTTTAGGTCAAATAGATCGATCCATACAGAAAAATTGGTTCCTACTCGGACTCTGGGAAAATTTAACATTTTTCTCATTGAATGCCTTCTGAAATGTGAATAATGTTAGCAACATAACCTTAGGTTTTCAGCTTTTCCCAGTTCTTCGCCCGTTTCTAAACCAAAAGTTATTGTTTTGAGAGCAGAGAAAGAGGAATCTCAAGTGAAAAACCATATTTGAAGGATGTGATAGTTAAGAATTTCAGTGTTTGAGTAGCATCACACTTCTACACAAAATCGATGTTATACCTTTGTTCTGATGAAGTCTAAGAGCAAAAGCAATTTTGGATTTCAGTTTTACAATATATTTTCCTGGACTCGCGTGGACTTAAGAAGCTTAGTAATGTTCAATGAGGCTGTTGTTTTAGATTAATAGCAGCTCTAATATTCAGGCTTCTAGAAGGTTTTCCATGGACAGACCCTCTATGCTGATTTTGGTCTAGAATTTCCCAGTAGTTTCACTTAACACTCGCCAACTCCAATCCATTGAACAAGAACATCACAAACATTTTTTTCCTGATTAAGTATTGCCATCAGTGATGTGCTAGAAGGTAGCTTATTTGCAAGCACATTGGAGCCTTTTGTTTTAGACTTGTTCAAAACGTAAGGAGCCACTACAGCTGTATGCACAATGGCTGGATTTTGGTGCATACTGCGGCGAAGCAATGTGCTGTAAGCCACTTTAGAGATGGTGTGTCCTCTGGTTTAAGAAGGGACAATGGTGCAACACATGATCCATTTGACTAGATGAGTAACATGGTTTATCAGAATAAGTTAAAAGAAAAAATTTCCTGGTAAAGATTCATTGGGTACACATGTTCTTCTATTTTTGAGACATCCATAGTTGGTAGGACAGAGATTTATCAAATCAGCTTCACCCGCTGCAGCAGATGCTGCCTTTAAGATAACTGGAGGCCTCTTCTGTTGCTGTTCAGTCAATCAGTATCTTTTTCTTGACAGTAAGTGATTGTTGTCCCTATTGTTCTCATAATGAGCAGACTCCTTATTCTTGTTAGAACCTGTCTTTAACGCTGCTACCTTGTAGTGGATCATTGCCAAAGATGTGGTTGTGGTCAATACTGACACAGATAGTATTTTACGTTTGACGGACTAGGCAGCATCGATGAGTTGAGTTCTTTATGCATGACAGGGCTGTGATTTTGTGGATATATAGAATGTGAACATGCGCTTGAATGGGAGTTTTTTGTTTTTTACTTAGAAATGTAGATGTATCTTATCAGCTTTCAAAGAGAGATTTGCGAGTTTTGACTAATAGAAAAGTCTCATATTGGCTTTCATGTATCCCTTTTCAGGTAGGGGAAACAGGCAAGCAAACGAAAAAGAGATTTTCCGCCAGAAAACAAGCTCCCGGGTGCTGAATCTGTTCCCAACTTGAACAACTCTTTATTGATAAAATGTTACTCGAGAGAACTTTGGATGGAATTCCATTCCAATAATGATGCTATTTTTAGGTCTTGTGTGCAGCTGAATTGAATGGTATTTCAATTATGCTCCGTTTGGTATGAAGGATGGAAAATAGAAGGGATATACATTCTTTCCTTCAAAGAAGGAAAGTAGAAATGATTTATTTTCATTTCTTTGTATTTGGTAGGATGGATGAAAAATAAAAATGATTATTATTATTATTTTTTTTTTTTTTTTGTGCTTGGTAAGGTGGAAAAAATATTTTTAAAATTATTAATTTATTTTAAAAGTATAAATATATATTTTATTATTGTATTTATATATGAAATGAATATATATATATAGACAAATAAAATAATTAACTTTTTATATATTTTTCTTTCAATTTTAGAGAGATTGATTTTAGTGAACTGGAAGAAAAGTCTATCTATCCATTTTTTTTTTATCTTTTTTATTTTTATTTTTTGTTACTAAAAGTGATGTTTTATCTATCTTTTGAATTTTTTATTGTTGAATTTCAACTTTATACCGTACCAGTACCAAACGGAATATCAGAGACAAGGATCCCTCTCATATATTAGGGAATTTGTAACATTGTGCTACATATCTGATAGATCAGACCTTGTAGGGACATTTGAAATGCAGTGGCGCGTCAATGCGGAGACTGAGCCAAAACACCACCTTACCTCGGACCATCTTAGGATGTATGTTTCCTCACCAACAAATCCAATGGCCAGTGGTTAGTGGAATCAACAATTGTTAATTGTGTGAATTATATTTTATATCGTAAAATATTTCAAAAATCTTAATTTGTATTCTAAATGATTAATTTGTTTATATTGCATCCTCAATGTCATAAAAAAACAATTGTAATGTTGCCCTTACACCAATTTCTATTATACTTTTTTGTTAAATTTGCAATGTGACCCCATGCGGTAAGATTAAAAAAGAATGACAACTAAAGTTAGTGTGGGGTCACATTGCAGCTGTGCGTGCAAGATCCTGCACAATATAAAAAACGAGAACAGATATCTCCCTTGGTGAACTCGAGTGAGCCAGTTGAGTGACCAATCCCGCTGCTTGGAACAGCCTGCGAGGTCCGGTGGTAACCTGGAACGGCAACGGGAGACCCTGTGGAGCGGAAGAACGATCCAGTAAGGCTAAAAGAGGTTCCTAGAACAAAGAAGAACAAGTTAGAAGGGCGCCGGAGTATTTTTCGGCGTATCCCCTCTGACTATCTAGTCAGTCTTTGAGAAAGAGAGAGGAAGGAGAAAACACTGAGTGTGTATTGTAGTAAAGAGTTTTTTGTTGCATACCCGTCTTGTCTTTTGCAAGGAGTATTTATACCTCAAAAGCTCATGATTGCTGTCAGTGTAGTCAGTAGGTGATCATTAGGTACAGGCAGTGTGCGCACTGATTCTGATGAGGAATGTCTTCTCTTCTTAACTGCTCGGGGTCCCGAGCAATCAATGCTGTGTCATCGGGATGCCGACGGTACAATGTACCCCTCTCGGGGAGGATGCAATAAATGCTCTGTATTAGGAGCATTTATTGCCTTTCATTTCCGAGCCTTACCGCATTGAATGCGGTCTTGTCAAAGGAATGGTGTAATTAATCGTTTGCTTTCCCAAGTCGCGTGTCAGCAACGGCATGCGGCTTTTCTGTTTTTGATGTGATATCGTATGCCACGCGTCCATCCCCCATTGGCTGTGGCCCCTGCATTCCAGTACGTTCTGACACTAATTGTGTAAGACGAGGTCATGATGAATAGCCTAGACTAGCCTAGGCTGATGACCTGTACGTCAATAGCTTATCCTGGAGTAGAGGAGGCATCCAGGACGGGGTACACCTCGGCACCGAGGAAAGGCTCATCTCGGAACCGAGGGAGGGATACCGACCGAGGTACCATATCAGACCGAGGCTACGTGTTGGTTGTAACTCGTACTGAATGCCATGATCCTATATGACGAGTACCTCGGGGGCGAGGAACTTTGTGCGCCGATGGTGCTTGATCTTAGCAACAGTGTTTTGGTAAATACCGAGGACACGTGTCTTCATCATGGAGTATTTCAGAAAAGTCTCATCAACTGCCCCCCAGCCTTCGATCTTCTGACACCGAGGGCACGCGTCGTAAGGAGACGAAGGGTTTTCCAACAACCACAAATGCTTCATCATTGCCTCGAGCCGCTTTCCCCGGCTTGGGATGTCGTGTGCATTAAATGCGCCGTTTCGTTTTTCGCGCCCAATGATGAAATTGCCACTATATAAATGGGGCTCCTCTTCCATTTTCTTGTTTCGCCATTCCGAACTTCCTCAAGAGAGCCTTTTCTTGAATCTTCGCCGGAGATCTTTTTCCTCTTCCATCGTCGACTGCCCATTCTTCCTTAAAGCCTTAAGGCCAGCAGACCCATCGTTGCTTCTGAACTTTCTGGAAGGAGTCGCCTAAAGTTTTCCAGAAAAAACTCCGTTTGGCATTCGGGTGAGTCCTAGTTTCTTTCTTCTTTTCTTCCTCCTATCCCTTTTTGTTTTCCGATGACTGGAGGTGTCTCCGGTTGATACTTAGCGACTAATCCTCGGGAAGCTTCCTCAGGGATTTTTAAGAAAAAACACCCTCCACTTTCTCACTTTCTTAGAGATGCCTCGTCGTCGCCCTGCTCCCGAGAATCCTCAGGCTGGTTCTTCGGGGTCGGGGAAGTATAAAGTAAAGGGTGGTGAGCAGATTAATAGGTTTAAGGTCAAGTACGGCATTCCCCCGTGCGTAGACATAGAGGATTATGACTCGGTGGTGCACTTTCCTACCCTCGGGGCCGAGGATGCTATGCCCTTTTATACCAAGGCCATAATAGAGGGCGGAATTAGGTTTCCTTTACCCCCTTTACTTCTACAGTTCCTCTCTCACTTCCGCCTCTTCCCCGGGCAGTGTTGCCTTAATGTCTTCAGAATAATTATGGGGGTCTTAGAGCTCAATAGGCGCCTCGGGGTAAATATTGGGCTGAACGATCTCCTTTTTTGTTATTCCCTCTTGAGAGTCATGCCTCACCAACACTTCTACCTCAAAGCCAGGGACCCCTCCATGTACCTTGTAACTCATCTTCCCGACTCGGACAAGGGGTACAAGGACGATATTCTTATTTTCAAGGGATCTTGGCAGAGAGGTGTTGGTCCCGAGTATAACGGCTTGTTATGCCCTCTGGAATGGAGAACGACAAGTACGTCGGTTCCTTCGGGTTTATTATTTTGTTCTCCAGACTTTCGATGTTCATGACTACTTTTTTGTTTGTGCAGATATCCCTGCTCGGGAAACAGCTCCTCCCCCTCGGTCGCTGGTGAACTTTGCCGACCTAGTCACGGTTTGGAGATTTACTGGTGACAACGGGTTCGGCCGGGCTGCCCACATCCTGCTGAATTACACCCCCGGGTATAAGAAATTTTCACAGCTTCCTCAGCCTTTTGAGCCTTCGCGGTGGTCTGAACTCTTCGATCAGGCGGCGAGGCAAGAGGTCGAGGAAAACTTGGAGGAAGACCCTGATCGGGCTTCGGAGGCAGAGGTAGAGGGAGTAGTTGAAGAGCTCGGGGTCAGAGAGGACGTTGTTCCTTCGGACGCCGAGGTGGGGACTTCGGGAGGAGATTTGTGGCCGAACTTCCAAGTTCTACAATCTCTAGACTCCGAGGACGCCCTCGAGGTCGCGATGTCCAGCACGCCTCGTATTGACCTGGGGTTCCTGAGGCAGAGGCAAGCTCTTGCTGCCGGGAGGGGTCGAGGATCGACCGGCGGCGCCCCATCTGCAGGGACCAGTTCCACCCCATCCTCAAGAGTTCTCAGTCGGGGTCAAGTGCGTGACCGGGATCCTCAGGTAGAGGAGGAGAGAAGGGTCAAACATAGGCACGATGGCCTCGGCAGAGGATCCAGGGCACCTTCCGCTCAGCAGCAAAGCGGGAGAGGCCGTGGGTTACCCCCTGCTCCTCCGCAACAGCAGCAACAGCAACAGCAACGACAACAGCAACAACAGCAACAACGACAGCAGCAGACTCCCCCTTCCCCTCCGCCGACAGTGGAAGCCGCGGAGTGGAATCCCCGAGCCACCGATCACATGAACCGAGTGATCAGGGTCGATGACTCCATTTTGCTGGATCCTCATGTCGCCAATGCAGTGAGTGAGACACTGCATTTCGAGGCTGACATGGCGGCTCACAGGGGGCGATCAACGAACGTGTTGTTCCGCTCTATCATCCAGAATTCCCTGGTGGTAAGTTCATTTTTTGCTTTGGTTTCTTCTCTCTCGCTTTCCATTTTTGTGATACGCCTTTTTCCCTCCTTTGCAGGCTACCCAACAGATCTCCATAATAGCTGCGCGGTACCATGGGTCTAGGATGGACCTCCAGCGGGCCCGAGAGCAGAAGGAAGAGGCGGAGGGGGCCCTCGCCCGAGCAATGGAGGACGTAGCTGCCAGGGATTCTACCCTGGCGGGGCAGGCTGCTCAAATCGAACAACTCCTCAAGGATGCCGAGTCGGCTAAGGTTGGCGCTGAAAAGCTAAGTGCTGCCCTTGCCGATGCTGAGGGGAGGATCACCGAGCAGACGCGGCGGCTTTCTGCCGCGGAGGAGAGGGCGGTTGGCTCAGAGGAAAGCTGTCTGGCTCTCACCCAGGAGCTGGACAGGATCAGAGCCGAGGCACTGAACAGGAAGTCGGAGGAGCAACTCCGGGAAGAGTTCGCCGATGACGTGCTCCCTGCTCTTGAGGAAAACAACAAGGAGTTTTTCAAGAAAGGGTGGGACGAGGCGCTCCAGTCTGCTGGAATCCCGTCAGACTCCCCGCTCTTCCAGATGCACAAGTACGTGCCCTCGGCAGAGATGGAACGGGCCGAAGCAGAGATTGCTGCCGAGGATGAGATCCCAACGCCGGTGCAAGTCTCGGCGGATCTGCCCGAGGCAGTGATAGTGGACTTGTCCGAAGAGGCCCCGCCAGACCATGCCCCTGATCCTCATGTTGCTCAAGGTCTCTCTGTTGCCGAAGTACCTCTCCTTCTGTCTGCTCCAGAAGCTTCTCAACCTTTTTATGCTGACTCGCCCTCGGCTGATGTTGTGGAGATGCCCGGGGCCAGATGAAAGCCCCTTTTTCTTTTTGATTGTACTCTTTTTTCTTTTGTAGCCTTTGGGGATGCAAAGCCCTCTTCTTGAAATAAATCATGAGTATT